TTGGCTGTTGCAAAAGAAAGTTATTTCCACATTTTCTCTCTTCATCTGCAATAATATATCCTGTGCTTGCATGAATTATATGCATTTGTGCTTTCCAGTGTTTTCTGCTCTTTATTTTTCTTTTTCATGAATATCGACCTATAAATTGAACTAGGTTTAATAGTTGTTGGCTGTTGCAAAAGAAAGTTATTTCCACATTTTCTCTCTTCATCTGCAATAATATATCCTGTGCTTGCATGAATTATATGCATTTGTGCTTTCCAGTGTTTTCTGCTCTTTATTTTTCTTTTTCATGAATATCGACCTATAAATTGAACTAGGTTTAATAGTTGCTTGGATTGACAATGGCCATTCAGTTGCTTATACCAATCAGCTGATCACTAGTCTGATAAGTAGAGCACCATGCTTGAGCAGTTATTCTCCACTAATGACTCAAGCTGAAATGCATATATTCCAAAGCCTTGAAGAGAGGAAAGAAAGAGGAAATCACATTAAATAGCAGATAGGAAATTTCTTTCAGAAACCAAATAAAGAATATGTCAAATAGTAATAAAAAAAGAAAAGAAAATAAAGAAATCAGAGACCAAAATTGTAAAAAATAAACACGAGGGAGAATAGGAAACTAAATGCGTTGGGCCTCTTTTAGTTTTCTACAGGGGAAATGAAAATCTAACTTCTTTTAGCAATAGCTTTCAACTGGTGGTTTTGTAAAAGCTCCCATCTGAATCCATGAGGCCATTACCAAGCATCAAATCTTCACAAGAATGCCAAACACTATGTCATCATTATAAATAAACGTGGCGACTGGGCTGGGTTGGCCCAAAACCCATATTGAACAAGCCTGTTATGAGTCGAGTTTAACCCAGCCCTGTACAATGCGGAGCGGATTTGGCTCGGCTCAATCTCAAAATGGGTCGCGTATGGGTCTATTTCTGAAATCCAGGCTTGAACTTGAATACGCCCCGCAAATTCAACCCAGTTTGGATTGAGTCGAGCCCGGATTGAGCCCGTAACTTAACTCGCACACAATCCCCATAATGACATTAGTTGTTAGTAAAGCAAATTAGTTATTAGTAACTAACTAACTATTATTAACTATTTAGTATTTTTCAAGCAAAAAATTGGTATGTTGCTTCCAAAACCTTCCTCAAGATACAACAAAATCGCTACCGTTTGGTCGAAATTCATCTAAATCAAGGTTTTAAAAAAAATCAAAAAATAAAAGAAAGAAAAAGAAAAGGAAAAGTAGTGGGTTGGGTTGACCAACCTGGCTCGATTCGAAGGGTCTGGATTAGTGGGCCGGGTTGGGTTGTGTTTGTAGCTCGGATACCCGGGCTTTGGCTCGACCTGAACTCAATGTTAGCTCGGATTGACCTAGTTGGATCAGCTCGAAACCGGCGGGCTTGGGCTTGGGTTGGCCCAGCCCGACCCAGTCCCTGGCTCTAATTTTAATGCGTTTCTCCTTTACTCAAGAAAAGGAAAGGTTATATATGGTAATCTTTCTTTTTTTTTCCCTTTTTTTAATGGGGTTATACATGGTAAGCCTGACATGTTATAAATTTCTTGTCCTGGTAATCTATGCATTTACTATGCTGGCATTGGTTTTTTTGGAGCTCTAAATAAGAATATCATATGATTATTCTCATCATATAAGTGCTTATTATGTTTCTGGTAACCTCTGATTTAGGAATTACCGGGAAAGTTTGGGTATCCGGTGATGAGATTGAGTTAAAAGTATGCCTTAACAAATCAATTCTTCATAATGTCCTGAAAGAGCCTCATGCAATCCTGAAAGATACTCCTGAACTTTGCTAGTGGTTTTCCTGAATTTTACCTCTGCGTAATATAGCAGGGTGTTCAGAATTTTGATTCCCTTTTCGACCTGATGAGAGGTGGTGGTGCTTCTTGTAATGGAGCTTGTAAATGTCAACCAGCTGAATAAGCTGAAGTAGTGAACTCAGTAACAGTTGTGGAAGTGTAACTGGTGAAAGCTTGTACATGTACCATTGTCATAGTCTCAAAGAATTGAAGTTTTTACAATCTTATAGAAACACAGTTTTTATGTTCTTCAAGGCGTCAACAGCAAATATATATTTGCTGCTGTTATACTAGAAAAATGAGGAATTTAAATCTGTTCTATAATTTCCGACCGTTAATACATGGTAGCAATAACTTTATGTAAGAAGTTTAAGTAATGTCGTACTAGTTTCATACTTCGTTCTACGTTTCCATCATACATGACCACCCGATAGTCCACTGCAAACAAGTAACTCGAGGATAATGCAACCCTGCTGATTTTTCTTTAGGAAACCTATTACATTCATGCGTGTGTGTTTTTGTGTGTGTGTATACATGTGTGTGTTTGTTTGTGTGTACATATATATAAATTTTTTTTTCCTTTTTCATTTGGATCTGGCCCAAGTTATAGTGTTTGCTCTAATGTAAGCTTTCAGGCCTAATATTTTTAACTTATTATAGTAGATAATCATTTCATGATGGGTCTCTCTCTCTCTCTCTCTCTCTCTGTCTATATATCATATTATAAACCCTTTTTAAAAACACGAGTTTGGAAACTTTTTTCTATGGTTAATATTACCTTTCACTATTTTAAATATTTTATTTATATCTTAATCTATCCTAATTAGAATTATATCCTATCCTAATCCTACGTGAACTATCTATAGCTTAACAATTTAAAAATATAATATTAATAAAATATATAAAACATTTTTATGGTATTAGTTTGTTGAGATAAAGAAATTATACCTAGCATAAAGTATTCCAAAAAAAGCTAAATTATTTAAAAATTACACAAAATACCCTGAAAAGTTTAAAATTATAAAAACTATCTCGACGTTTAAAAACTTAAAATAAAAAACATAAAATCAAGAAATTAACAGCAGTTTGTGAATAATTTAAAATTTGCACTTTAATGTCTCAAAATTATAAATACACCCTCAAAATTTTAAAGTACAAACAAGCACCTGAAATTCTAAAATTTCAAAACTTGCAAACAACATAGATGAATTAAATGGATTACCATAATGCACTTGAAAATTTCTGATATTTCAAAACTTAAAACAATAAACATGAAATTAAGAAATTAATAGCAACCTCTAAAAAATTTAAAAGTTTAATTAACACCCTCAATGTCCCAAAAATTATAGAAACACCTTCAAAAGTTTAAATTATTAAAAATAACCCTAAAAATCTAAAAAACTTAAAATTTGCAAACAACGATAGATGAATTCAAGAGATTACCCACATGCACCTAAAAATTTAAAATTTATTGAAATTAACCTCAAAGTTACAGAAATTGTAGAAAAACTCTTTCAAAATTAAAAAATTACAAAGAACTCTAAATTTGCAAAATTTATAACCAGTACACATCAAATCTTGAAAGTATTGGTAGACCGCTAAATTTTAAAATTTTTAAAAATTAATCTACAGTTTTAACGGTTATAAAAAGCACCCTTAAAATTTCTGAGTTGCAAGAAATATCGTGATATTTAAAAATTACCATTTACACATGAAACATAGAAGTTACAACTACTAAACATAAAAGTAATTTTTTAAAAATATTCTCAAAGTTTTAAAATTATAAATCACACCCTCAAAGTTCAAAACCACAAAAAATAACTGTAATTTTAAAACTTGGCAAAGAAAAGTATAATTTTTAGGTATTTTTCATGAAACATAGAAGTTACAACTACTAAACATAAAAGTAATTTTTTAAAAATATTCTCAAAGTTTTAAAATTATAAATCACACCCTCAAAGTTCAAAACCACAAAAAATAACTGTAATTTTAAAACTTGGCAAAGAAAAGTATAATTTTTAGGTATTTTTTCATTAAGATATATATAATT